CTATATAGCATAACGTATAGCAACCACTGAAAAAATGGTCAAAAAAACATGAAACAGGTGAAAGTAATAAGCCAATAATGAGAATAAAAAGGAATCATAAAAAGAACACTCAATCTAAAAACAGTCAACAAGAGTTAAATGGGATATAGAACAGGTGGAACAAACAGAAATCAACCATCAAGGTGGTAAATTTAAATCCAATTACAACAGTGTTCCTGCACACTTGAATAGAATGTGTATTCTGTAGTTGTTGAGTGTTGTATTCTCTAAATGACAGACTAAGTTTATTAATAGTATTGTACAAATTTTCTGTATCCTTCCCTTTTTAGGTCTACATTTTCTGTCAATTACTGAGGAGTGTTAAACTCTCCAGCTATGATTGTAGATTTGTCTATTTTTTTGTGTGATCTCTCAAGTTTGCTTCATTTATTTGGAATATATCTTTTTAAGTTCATAAACAGTTTGATTGTTATATCTTCTTATTGTATTCATCCTTTTAATTTTGTGAAATGTCCCTCTTTATCTGTGTTAAAAATTAAAATAATCATTGTCTTCTTTGCCTCATATTAATATAACCATTACTTTCTTTTATGGTATACGTTTGTCTGTTCTGTTACTTATAACATTTTCTTCTTTTTTTATCATGTTATTTTCAAATAATTTCAACATTAAGGAAGAATTTCGAAAATGTGATGAACTGAAATTCTCCAATTTTTGACTTTTTGCCATGTCTGCTTTATTACTTCCTCCCTCTCTCTTTGTCTGTCTCTCTGTATGTGTGTGTGTATGTAGTATTTTAATCCCTTATGGTTTATGTTAATTTTGATTAACTATTTAAGATGTTGTCTGTTTTCTCCATATAGTTATAATTTTTCCTTTTGTAATAAGTACTGTTTGTTTTGAAATACGTTGAGACCATGTATTTATTTTGTTAGTTACCAGATGTCCTTCACTTCTTTCCCTCTTATAGTATTCATTAGTGATTCTTGCCTGAAATCAGTTTTTTTCTCTAATAATCATTAATATATGATTTTAACTAATTTATTTATTTTTATTCCTTTTATATGTATTACTTGGCATTCCATATTAAGGAGTCCTTCCCCATTATCTATCTATATAGCTAGCTAGCTACCTACCTACCTACCTATCATTTCCTATATCATATCAGATTCATGGATTCTTACTTCATTCAGTTGGGTTATTCCTTTAATGACCTTATTCATTTTGATACTCAAATTGTCCCAGATGTAGCTAGTGTGAGCCACTTCAAGCTGGCTCCTGTGCCTTGTTGATGTGTTCTTATCACTTTGGGGACATTTCCTAACTTAACCACGATATTATTCATTTTTTCAAGGAGCTCAGTTCTTTTTAGTGCTGAATGGCATCTTGACAGTAAGATCTAGACATGTTCCTTGTATTTAAATGTGTGTCATTTTGAATCAACAAGTAGTTTGGTATTGGTTTTTTATTCATTCTGCCTAATTGGAATGTTTATTCCATTACATTAATATATTTAGTGATTTGTTTGGATTTAAACCTTTCATCTTGCTGTTGTTTTTCTATTTGTTCCATTCATTTTTTTTTTTGCTCCTTTTTTTCCTTTTTTCCTTCCTGCTTCTCGATTAAGTTTTATTAGTATTACGACTTAGTTTCCGTATTGGCTTACTGGAATATAACTTTTCGTTTTATTTATTATCTGTTTGTGTGTTTGCTCTGGGAATTATAGTGCGTATCCTTAACTTATCACAGTTACATGTAATTTAAGAATCTTACAGCAGTATAGTGTAATATATCTTTTCACTTCCTTTTCTGATATTGTTGGCATATACTTACTTATACACTTGTTTTTAAACACTAAAATATGTTACTGTTTGTGTTTGAACATTTGATAGTATTTTAAAAGTCAAGAAAGAAAAGTAGTTCATTATATTTATCCTCATATTTACTATTTCCAAGCCTTGTCCTTCTTTCTTACAGATCTGTGTTACCCTTTGGTATCATTTTCCTTCAGTGTGAAAAATTTCTTCTAGCTCTTCTTTTAGTGTATATCTGCTGGTTTAGATTTTCTTAGCTTTTGTTTGTGTAAAAATATTTTTTCATCTGTTTTCAAAAATATATTTTTTAAGATGTAGAATTCTAGGCTGGCAGTCCTCCCTTTCCCCACACTTTAAAGATGTTATTCCTCTGTTTGCTTTCATTGTTTCTGAAGAGAAATAAGCCATTATTCTTATTGTTGTTCCTCTAACTGTATTGCCTTTCTTCTCTGGTTGCCTTTAAGGTTTCCTCTTTGTCTTTGCATTTTGCAATTTAACTGTGATTTTCCTGTGTGAGGTTTTATTTGCATTAATTGTGTTGGGGTTTTGTTAAACTTCTGAGATCTGTGGGTTGAGATCTTTTATTAGGTTTGGAGATGATGTTGCCAATTTATCCTTATATATGTCTCTTTTCTTATTTCTTCCTCTTCTGCAATTCCTAGCTACTTGATGTATCATTCAGATTTCATCATTACTTGAGTGAACTGAATGTGAGTCTCAGTTTTTATTAGTTTCAAATTACTTCTGATTTCAGTTCTACAAATGCTATGGTAGAAGTCTTTTTGTCTTTAAGACTCTGAAATTCCAAAGCTTTTATCCAGGGGCTTATCTTTTATTTTAACAGGATTTGAGTTGGGCTGGGTTTCAGCTTTAGTTAGTTTTTACTCTCCTTTGGATTGAATTCGAGTAGAGCCTTGGAATCTAAATCCCTTTCAAAATTTGCAAGACTTCTCTCTGATTTCTAGCACTACCCCTACCATTTCTTATGGAACAGAATTCTTATAGGCAAGAGTTGTTGTGCAACTCTCTCCTATTATTTTTGTTTGGGGGCTCTTCCAAGACTCCAATCTGTAATAGCAGCCCACACTGTTAAGGGGTTGGATGATTTTTTTTTTGTCCCACCAAAGTCTCTCAGCCTATGAGTATTTCACTCCCTCATCTATGTGTACCCAGATTAGGCAATTGGCCTTAGATATGAAAGTAGCTGCTACTCTTTGCTTATCTTTCAAGGGCTTTATCCCAGTATGCAATTTAATTCAGTTATACATTTTTTGTGTTCATTATACTTCATTAACATTAAAGGAATATACAGCTTTTAGCTTAGATCTAGCTTTCTTGTGCTTTTGAAGGTAGTGACAGTTTTTCTCAATCTTCTACATCATATCCAAGAATGGAACTTCTACTAGATCTTTGTAAAGCATAATAGAAATAAGTAATAAGTAGAGATGCCAGGAGAGCGATTAATATCAGGGGCACCAGATTATTTTGGACACCTGTGTTAATCACTTTTATAGCAACCTGTACTTATTCATAACTCATATTACAATTGATATGATATAATTATTAGTTTAAGATATGAATGTAGGAACCATGACTATTTCTTCACCACTGTAATTTCAATATTCCATCAACACAATGCCCAGCACCTTATATATTTTTGGAATGAAGTTTTAAATTCAGTAATAGTTTTTGAAAGGGTAGCAATAGGCCAGAGGTTATTGTTCAATTAAATATATCTTTACATGGACCCTGTAAAAATATTTTGAGGTATCGTTTTTTCCAACTGAATTTCCTAACTGAATTCCTTGCATTCTGTAGTCTTATTTATTTCTAATATTTTTGTCTTCCACATAGCATGACAATGTAGCTAGCCTGTATATTTAGTATTTTAAGATTTTTAATTGAACTATACTAAGCCTCTGATTTTATTCTGTAGAAAAAAATCAATGAGATAAAATTTGTGACCATTGTTCACAAGCAATAAGTTATTGAAAAAGAACTGCTCACAAATCTTTACATTTATTTCTTGATAAAGAAGTATCATTACAATACTAACTTTATTATTGAAGAAATATTTGTCTCAAAAGGATATCTTTTATAGAAACCATCTTGGGTGATGCTTTCAGGGGCTTATGAAGGATGTATAGGTCTAGAATTTCATTTGTTGGTTGCAAGATTGTTGTTTTCTTTTTTAAACTTTGCATATAAAGATAGCTTTGGAATCATTTTTTTTACGTTTAGTTTCCTTTACTGAATAGAAAATGTCATTATTGATAATTTTTGGAATAGTAAGGGTTATAAAACATTTATGCAGAATTAAACTACTGGTTTAGTTTCAAAGTCAGTGGTTACCAGTGAGGAGAGGGGAGAGAGGAGGGGCAAGATAGAGGTAGAGGATTAAGAAGTACAAACTACTATGTATAAAACAAATAAGTTACAAGGATATATTATATAGTACAGGGAATATCACCCATATTTTATAACTTTAAATGGAGTATAATCTTTAAATTTTTTTATTCATTATATTGTGCACCTGAAAATTATAAAATCTTGTAAATCACTTTTTTAAAAGTCCAAAAAAAGTAACTATTGGCTTGAAACATTCATTTTGGAATGAGAGCTAAATAGACATTATATGAAAGATGATGACATAGGAGCAGAGATATATATATTTTTTTAGGGACTTTGTCAGCTAATTGTGCAGAAAGTCTACAAAGAGATCAGGTTGAAAAATTATAAATATTAACTGCGAAGGAACTTGAATGTATGGGAGAAATAATGGTTTCAGAATGCAGAATCATGTTAGAGAACTCTGTCCTGAGATGCAGTAGGGCATAGTATTTAAATACTGTAGCCTTTAGAGCTACACTGCCTGTATTAAAATCCTTTTTTGCTATCTACTCACTGTGTGACCTTCAGCAGGTTACTTAACTTCTCTTTACCTTCATTTCCTCATCTGTAGAGATAATACTAAAACTAATTCATATGGTTATTATGAAGGTTAAATGAATTTTGATACATTAAAATACTTGGAATCTAATTTCTGATATACAATAAATGTTATTTCTTGTTGCCATTATTATTATTATCATTATTATTATTACCATGAGTACCACTGGCACATTGTTTGTTTGCAAAATAATTTTCCTACCCGGTATGATTGACATTTTGACATTTCCTTTTCAGTTCAACTGAAGTTGATGACATGATTCGTAAATCTACAAACCTGTTGCTAACTAGGACTCTGAGCAGCTCTCTGCAGAATGTCATTAAAAGGAAGAATATTGGACTTACTGAGGTAAAGCTGCTCTTATTGGAGGCAGCCAAGGCAATTTGTGAACAGATGTCCTAAGCTCTGGGGCTTGTGTGTGAATTAATTATAATTTTCTATGTGCTCTATCATGTTCTTTCTGACGGACTCACGGTGAAAGTGCAAAATAAATTCCTTGTGTTTTTCATTCAGTGCCTTGGAGAAATCCATTATTTTTTGGAAAAGTCACTTTTTTTCTCTCTTTCATTGTCTTCTCTAGTTTAACTGGTTCTCCTTTCTGAGGTTGTTGGGTTAAATTTGTATTATTTGCCATTGATTATATAAAAAAAATGTTAGTTGGAGAATAGAGTCAACATCAGTGTCCTATTTAAAATAATGGCAGTTCAAATACAGCATACAGCATGAAATCACATTTTGCCTACGTAAGTCATTGATGCCAGGGATATTGGCATTCATAGTCACTGGTTAGCGTTAGATTTTGTTTTTGAGATACATCGCATGTATGAGTGGTAAATTACTCTTTATTAGCATGTAAGTCGGGATTTGGGATTGAGGAAATGCGAGAGAAAGGCAGTCATTACATTTCTGTGGAAGCTTACACAATCTCACAAAGGGTGGAGGGTTATTGTACATAGGTTGAGAACAGTATCTTGGCAAACTGAAGATTTGATGCATTGGTGTAAGTCCTAAAACTTAGAAAGATGCGACATTTCTCTTCTCTTAGAAACCCAGGTTTGTATGGGAGCCTCAACCTCTCATTTTATGGAAATTAGAGTGCCAAGTGTGACAGAGCTTGGAGGAATTTTCTTCACAGGTGAAGGGAAAGGCTGTTGGTCATCTGTTTTTAGAGGTGGTATAGTTTCAAAGTCAGTTGGTCTAGGAAAAATTGACATTTTCAGATATACATTATCAAGGATGAACGTCAGTAAGTGGTTAACGATACTGACCCATAGATGAGTACAGCTGGAAGACAGGTGAACATCTATTTCTGATTTTGGAATGATTGTTTCTTTTCCTGTGTTAAGATTTAAAAACACTGTTAAATACTGTATTATAATATGGGACATTGGCAGTGATTGAATTCTACTTATAACCAACTTTTTTTTTACAATTTAAAGTCACATTCGACATTATTTGGACAATCCCCTCATTTTGCAGAGCTTCGTTTCTCTTGCCTGGTATAGAAATGTTAAGCATTGCCATTATGTGTCTGAGAATAGGCTAACTTCTTTTGTAATGAGGAATGCTACAGAAAAGCAAAGTTGGATTGAAAATTTGGAGGTTCTTATGCTTTTGTAGATTATTCTGTTCTCCTTTTCTGAATCCCAAGTAGGACAGAAAATTTATTTTGTGAACTACCTCTTCATTAAAACTCTTGATATAATTCTTCTTAGGCCATTTGATTTATCAATCTCTTAAAAGCCATTTTATTTAATTAATTTATTTTTATTTAAGTATAGTTGATTTACAATATTGTGTTAGTTTCAGGTGTACAAAAATAAATCTGTTTTAAACAAGTAGCATAGCAGGAACATGGTGTGATAGAAACAGCTTTGGACACAGAAGACTCTGGAATTTAGTTGTGACTATGCCATTGATTTACTGTAGCATCTTAAAAGAAGACCTAACTCCTCAGTTCTTCAGTTTTCCTGACTCCATTGTCCATTTCAAAGGCACTGTACAGATCAAGTAACAATAGGAAGAAGCAGTAGGAGCTTATCAAGAAGTACTGTATTGTGGTTCTTGACATAATTTCAGTGAATGCTAAATGTTATTCCTAAGTCATTGGATCTGTTTCGGCAAAAATACTTTTGTTATCAAAATCTTTACATATGAATGAAGGAACATCCACACAAGTTTATTTATTTTGGCTATGATGGTGGTGTGTACCTGTATAGACAGGTACAAAACCAGTGATTTTTTTCATCACCAACCAGTAAATCTTTGACTAACTCTATTATTCACCTTTTATGAAAGGGAGGACATTATATCCTTCTTTATAGGTAACTAAAGTGATTTCACGTCTGGAATCATCATCAGTAATGGGCAGTGTTTGTGGAACAATTTATATTCTTCAGTGTCCATTCACAGATAATCACCTTATTTATTACAATAACATTTGAAGCAGGCTGGGCATGTGTTATTATTTCCATTTTATAGAAGGTGTAATTAAAGTTCAAGGAGAACGCCCAAGCTAGCAAAATGATAGAAATGAGACCTAAGTTCAGGTTATTTTTTTCCCCAAACTTACTCACTTTTACTATAGTGTACTACTTTCCATATTGATTTAATTATTCTGTCATAACAAAGATAGAGGTTTTTACAGGAGGTCCATAGTAACATCGAAATTGTTCTAGTTAGAGGTGATTTTGTAACAGGGAGCAGATATCCACTCAAATGATAAAAGTATTATAAGCACTCAAAACTCACAGAATCCTATTTCTGGTTACCAGATAAACAATTCTTTTAGTATTTAAAAGTTTGTATAAGCTAATGTCTTTCTGCCTGTCTTGATTTGAGGTTATATGGTATCTTATCTCTTATTTTTTCTGTCCATATGCTCTATTCTTTTATCTCTTTCTCTCTATATAGTGGCTTTCATGCTTTTCTCATGGCTTCTTTACTTCCCCATGTTAAGCCAACTCTACATTACCTTTCAGTTCTACCACCTACTGTAACTTGAATGCCTTGTATTCTCAGACCCTAAGTGATGATCTCTAGTTCAGTCAGCAGACACAGCTGTTTTCCTACTGCTGCTTCTTCCAAGTCTGTGAGAAGAAGGTCAGTCAAGAGTATATGTTCTAAAGCAGACTGCCCAGGTTCCAGTTCTGGTTCTCCCCTTAATAAATGTGTTCTTGGGAAGATTGCTTGGCTTTATGTGTAAAATGGGGACAATAGTAGCATGTATTTCATAGGATTGCTGTGAAGATTAAATGAACATGTAAAGTGCTTAGAATAGTGCCTGGTTCACAGTAAATACTCAGTGCATATTGCCTATTACTAAGAAAGAGATCTGGGCAGGAAAACAGTGGTGGTTAGGGCTAGTATAGAAATGGAGTTTTTCAAATAAGAGAAGTCAGAAGATTAGAACAAGATGTCCTGTTAATTAACTTTACAATATTTATTGAGTGCCTACTATGTGACAGGTACTGATCTAAGTCTTAAGAATAAATAAGTAAACAACAAGAACATCAACAAAAGAGATTCTTGCTTATATTCTAGTGGCAGAAAACAGGTAATAAATGGTACAGAAAATAAATAAGTAAATCATCTAGTATGATAGAAGGTCGTGAATGCTGTGGAGAAAGAGGAAGAACCTGGGTTAAGGAAATCAGGAGTCTGGTGGAGGTTCAAGGTTGGTCTTATTAAAAAGAGCAACACCTTGACAGTAAGTTATTATTGAAGGGAAAAGAGCATTTTTGACAGAAGTTAGAACTAGAGCAAAGGTCTGAAGGTAGTTAAGTTATTGGCAAGTTTAGGGAATAATAAGGAAGCTGGGGTAGCTGGAATGGAGTGAGTAAGGGGAAGAGAAACAGTAGATTAGATTAGAGAGGTACCAGGGGTTCATGGTAGGCCATTATAAAGAGTTTGGCTTTTATTTTGTATGAAATGGGAGCCATGGCAGCATTTGACTAGTGGTATCATCTGACATATTCAAAAAGGATCACATTGACTGTGGTATTGAGAATAAACTGTAGGGTATAAGCAGGGAGACCAGTTAGGAAGCTATGACAGTAATCCAGCAAGACTTGATGGAAACTTGGGTGATAGAGGTGGTGACAAGTGGTCCTATTTGGACTGTAGAGCCAGCATAGTTTCCTGATGGTTAAAAGTAAAGGAAGCAAGAAAGTGAGGAATTGAAGATAACCCCCCAATTTTTTTTATCTGATCAACTAGAAGGTTGCATATACCATGTGCTATGATGGCAAAATCTTCAATTAGAGCTAAATTTGGGGTGGAGGAAGATTGGGAATTTGGTTTTGGACATATTCAATTTGTAGTGTTTATTAGACATACAGTTTGAGATACTGAGTTAACAGTTGTATGTATGAGTTTAGAGTTTGAGAAGGCAGTTCGGCTGGGAGATAAAAAGTTGGGAGCATAAAAATGATATTTATGGGCTTCCCTGGTGGCGCAGTGGTTGAGAGTCTGCCTGCCGATGCAAGGGACACGCGTTCGTGCCCCGGTCCGGGAGGATCCCACATGCCGCGGAGCAGCTGGGCTCGTGAGCCATGGCCACTGGGCCTGCGCATCCGGAGCCTGTGCTCCGCAATGGGAGAGGCCACAACAGTGAGAGGCCCGCGTACCGCAAAAAAAAAAAGGATCAAAAAGTCTACAATTAATCAATGCTGGAGAGAATGTGGAGAAAGAGGAACCCTCCTACACCGTTGGTGGGAATATAAATTGGTACCGCACTATGGAGAACAGTATGGAGGTTCCTTAAAAAACTAAAAATACAGCTACCATATGATCCTGCAATCCCACTCCTGGACATACATCCAGAGAAAACCATACTTTGAAAAGATACGTGCACCCCAGTGTTTATAGCAGCACTATTTACAATAGCCCAGACATGGAAGCAAACTAGATGTCCATCAACAGATGAATGGATAAAGAAGATGTGGTATATTTATACAATGGAATATTACTCAGCCATAAAAATAATGAAATAATGCCATTTGCAGCAAAAAGGATGGACCTATTGATTATCCTACTATGTGAAGGAAGTCAGACAAAGGCAAATATCATATGATATCACTTATATGTGGAATCTAAAAAATGAATCAAATGAACTTACTTACAAAAGAGAAACAGACTCACAGACTTAGAAACTTATGGTTACCAGAGGGGAAAGTTGAGGGGGAGGGATAAATGAGGAGATTGGGATTAACGTATACACACTACTATATATAGAATAGATAATCAACAAGGACCTGCTATATAGCACAGGGAACTCTACTCAATACTCTGTAATAACCTATCAATATATGGGAAAAGAATCTGAAAATATATATATAAGTATGTAT